GTGCAAATCGGAGTTATGATTCTCAAGTTATGGCGAAAATATTTCCAATTTGCTATCAGGCTCTCCCGAAATTCGTCGGGCGAAGCAGAGGCGAGTCAGAAGCGTGGAAATGCACCCATAAGTGTGAACAACACTTTTTTGAGCCCGAGGCTCGCTGGGCGAGACGGTCTGGGCATAATCTCATTATAAAGATGCAAAAATAACATTTTTAGGTTATTCGATAGTTTTTTATCCCAAACCATCAAAGATCGTTTTTTTTTTTGTGTAGGAGAAGCTAGAAAACAACAATGGAGCTTGCATATGGATGATCCGGAGTCAGATTTCCCATTAATTGGTGCTGAAAATCTATGAGATGTTTGGTTTTCCTTCATTTTTTCCCTATGTGTTTCTCTATTTGTTAGGTTTTGTTTGTACTCTCACTCTAAACCTATGTATATGTATTGATCATGGTGTTGTATAATACATATGCTTTATAAATCAATCTTGTGCTTTCCTTGATCTTTTTACATTTATGTTTGGATTTGTGTTGTTGTAGAGATAGACCTCACAAATCTTGATTAGGAAAGGAAATCTATTAGTTTCTAGATTCTAGAGATAGATTTAGAGCTAATAATCACATGGGTATCGAAGCTTAATACTTTCGTGTTGTTTGAGTCAGTCGAGAGATCGTCGACGTGAGTAATACAGTTGCTCTATCAGCTCAGTGTTGTAGAGATTATCACTATTATGAGCGATACATGATGATTTTGATGAGTATTGTATGTTGGGTGCGAATGATCGATGGGTTTAAGTTTGGTTTTAGTAGTGTAGATCCATGCTTGATAGGTTCTCCTCTCTAAAGAATATATTCTTTCTTGTTTATATGTCTAATTTCTGCATTCACTTTAAACCCATTCAAATCTAAACTCATAAACGCGAGATATTGTCGAATGACAATTCAGTAGCACTAATACATGTGGAGACGATGTGATAAAACTAAATAAATACTTACTTTTGCTTTCCGCTTTACGCTTCAGCAAATACGTGACATGGTTCTACATAGTGTCACATTTTACCATGACATCAGATGTTCCTGGACGTCCACCTAGGCCAGCTCATGAGGAGATCTTAGAGAACCAGCAGACTGAGGATGACCATGCCATTGATTTCTAAACCCATAACAAATCGCAAAACATATCTCCTTAATTGTTAAAATAAAAGATATTATTATAATCTTATAATATCTCTCAAATATTATAAATATCTTATAATATTTCTTAGACTATTATAAATATATATCTTATAACATCTTTTAAAATATTATAAATATCTTAGAATATTTTTTATATTAATTTATATGATCTCCAAATTAATATAAAATATTTTAATTTTTAACAATCTCAAACTATGTTTTCTTTTTCTTCATCAACAAAGGTTTTAAGGAATATTCCAATAATATATATATATATATATATATATATATATATATATATATATATATATATATATATATATATATATATATATATATATATATATATATATATATATATATATATATATATATATATATATATATATATATATATATATATATATATATATATATATATATATATATATATATATATATATATATATATATATATATATATATATATATATATATATATATATATATATATATATATATATATATATATATATATATATATATATATATGAGTGAGTGTTAGAAAGAAATAACAGAAAAACATATTAGAGAGTTTTAGAAATTTTTGAGAAATGAAACAGTATGTTTCGACCTGAAATTTCTGTGTCGACACATAATAGAAATTTATTTCTATGTGTCGATCTAAATGTCTTATGTGTTGAACTAAAACAAACAGAAACTTCTGATTTTTGAAACATACAATATGTGTCGACCTTTAACTCAGATGTGTCGACCTATAGAAATATTTTTACTTCTATGTGTTGACATATAAGACGTATGTGTCGACACATACTGAGCAAAATGTAATTTTTTAAAATTATTTCAAAATGTGTGAACTTGAAATACGAATGTCTCGATCTACAGAACAAAAATACAATATATGTGTCAACCTGAAACATGTATGTGTCGATACATACTAGACCATGGCTTTTATGTGTCAACCTGAAAACCTTATGCGTTGATATATACTGAACAAAGGCTTTAATGTGTCAATCTGAAAATCTTATGTGTTGATACATAAACTAGTTTTCTCATAAAACTTGATTTTTAACTTGTAAAACCTCTATAACATGATTTTAAGTGTTCTAATATAAAAATGCACATCTAAATTAGAGATTAAGGTCCAATGTAAACAAATACTAAGTTCTAGTTTTAACAACATTCAAAATAACTAAAAGGATAATGCACTCACAAGTATCAAAAAGAAGAGTAACCATTAAATTGAGAAAATGAATCAAAAAAATTATGACGCTAACTCCTCAAGAATTGTGTGATAACATACAAAAGGAAGTATTACTCTATCAAACGTATCAAATCACTCGCACGCAACACTCGAGTGCTTCAGTTGTCAACATTTGAAAGAATATTTGAAGTGTGGAGCATTAAACACGTGAATCTCCAAAAGACTAAAATGTTTCCTCTCTCTCTCCTAAAGATGACCACGAGAGAGGTTGGTTTTCGAGGCTAAACAACAAAGCTCGGCCTTGTTGTGCATAGACACAGACTTAAGGATCAACTTTTTGGGCTAACCATAGTGTCCTCGGTCGACTACTCTCAAGGAATAGTAATTCTTTGAGAACCTTCTCAATGCGTGAAGACTATCATACATATACTCATATAGGATCTAAACTCCAAATGCATCCAACGATTTCCTATAATCCGCACTTGGCAAATAACAAAGTTTTTATTCTCTCTATTATATATAGAGAAGACACCAAAGTCAGGTACTTAGTTTCAAACTCAATTTCAATTCACCCTTCTCCCTCACATGCTGACTTGTGCATTGAAGTGCTAACCTTGCAAGTTATCTTCCTCTCCACCTCACATGAAGCTTTGATCTGCCATTACCACCCCTCCTCCTCACTCTATTTATGGTTTCAGAACAGAACAAAATCAAATTGAAAAAAAATGATTTTTTAGTTCGATTTAAAAATTGAATCAAATCGATGTAAACTGAAATGGTGTCTTTTAATTTTTAAGAACGCCAAACTGATGAATCGAACTAATGACATTGTAAACTAATCTTTTATGGTATGTGTGTATGTTTTAATTTTTAGAAATTGTTGGAATAATTCTAACTAATACCAAGGTTAACAATAATGAAATCACAACATTATTTTAATAAAATAATCTATGGTTGAATTTAATTTTGAAAAATATATTTTACGTTCTATATTCTAAATATTTGTTTGTTTTAATTTATTTTAGGATGGTGAATTGAGGATTTAAGTGGGAAATTAAAATCTTGTTTTTGTTGTATTTTGTTATTTGATGGTGAACTAATAAATTTAGTTGTATTTTATATTTGATATAATTGGGAATTTATTTTAGGTGTATTAGTCACTTTTAAATACCTACGTTTACATTTAATGATGAATTTCTTTTGGTTGTATTAGCCACTTTTAAGTGTAAAGTACAAATTTTTTTATATGTGATGGTGAATTTATTTTGATTGCATTAGTCATTGTTAAATACCAACTTTTATATTTGGTAATGAACTTATTTAATGATGTAATAAAAATTATATCACTATTTTGTATGGGTTAAATATAAATTGTTTGAAAAATAAAGTATAAAATAGATTATATGAAATATATTATTTAAAAAATATAATTGTAAAAAATATTATAAGTTGATCAATCAAATCAAACCAAACTAGTTCAGTTTTAATTTTTTTTTTTTTAAAACTAAAGCCAAACCTAACTAAATTGGTAGAAATATTATTTTTTTGAATGTTTTTTTAACCGAAAATTAGTACAAACTGAACCAATTACACACTTATGTTTAAGATAGGAAAAATAGAATTTTACTAGAGTATATAATTTTGTACCACATTTGACTTTGTTTCTCAAGATCAAGTTGGAGAGTTTAAATCAAATTATTTTAATCAAGTATAATCAATTTGTAAAGGCGTAAATTTGTAGAGTTAATCTCATATTTATATTAATAAGCACATAACATTATATTTATATAAAATCATAAATATATTTTTAAATTTTAATTTTAATTTTAATTTAATAATAAAACAAAAATATACTAAATCATATATTAAAGTGTCATAATCTTATGAAACTATATAAATTATCTCAAAAAATCAAATAAATATAAGTTCAGAGTTTAACAACCTTCCACAACATTATTAACTCAGTTAAATATTAACTCGAGAGTTTAACAACCTTCCACAACATTAGTTGAAAAGTTTCAAACTTTGCAAAAATAGAGAAATAGCAAAATTTTCAACTTGCAGAATTAAATAAAGGATACTTTTCAGGTTGATTAGAGATTTGAGTGGTTATTTCAAAAAAACAAAATCTTCAATAGATTAAAACTGTCATATATATTTAGTCCCGGCAAAATTTCAGATTTTCAAATTTAATAGTCCTTATCAAAATTTTCAGCTTTTCACTTCCCTCTAGCATAAGTTAAATTTGAACAACAATGAAGGTTTAGAATTTTCAAAGAGAAATTTTAGAGATGAAAACTCTAATACTTTGAACAAACAATAAAGATGCTTCATGCAGAACAAAATTATAAATTGCTAAAATGACAACCAAAATACCAACAAAGGCTTTGTTGGAGACCAAAAATTCAATGAATTTACATAAATTTCACCAATATTTTGCTTTCATTGTTGAAGGAATAAACTATCGCCGCAAAAATGATAATAATCTCTCACTCTTTGTAGGGAACTCCTCGAATCAAAACCAATTGACATAAGAATAAAAAACCAAGACATTAAGAAAAAATTAAGAAATGAACCTAGTGCCTCATCGAGTTGAAGGAGAAAAACCATGTTAGTCAGCAAAACTCATTGAATGTGAAGCTGTTCCATCTGAATGAAATCCAGCCCTCTTGTCCTGCCAGGTGCACCGCCTTTAAGCGAGGACACGTCTAACATTATCCTGTTCAGCGAAACACAAAGTAAGTACTTGATCTATTACTCGTGGTTGCTTTTAAGTAAATGTGTTTCACAAGGTTTACATGTTGTCTAGTTCGGAAGAGTTGCAGTATATGATGATTTTGTCATTAAGTTCGGTTACTGAATAATCCGTTGGGAGATTGAACTCTCTTGCAGCTGGATTAGGTGGAGGAGTGACATAACCATCATGTCCCAATAATTTCTGAACAAGTGAATATTGTATATCAGGATGTTGAAATCGAGTTGATGCAAGAATGTTTGCATGAAGGAATCTGAGAGTTACCTTGAGACTGTCATAGCACACGTCAAGTTTGTCGTTGTATAAGATGAAATCAAATACGCCTGATGACTTCCCTTGCTCAATCTCGGCCTGAGCATTTCGTAATCTTTTTAAAACCTGTTCTTCTGTCTCCGTTCCTCTGCTCAAAACATTTAGGATTTAGATTCATTTGAAAGGTAACAGACATGTGTAACTTTGTAAGAAAAAGCTATTAGTCACCTTTTACGAAGACGCTTCTCCAGCTCTTCCATTGATGGGGGACAGATAAAGATGAATATAGCTTCAAGATAACTAGCCCTCACAGATCTTGCCCCTTGAACATCAATATCAAGAATACACCTCTGAACATGATTCAAAAATTAAAAAGATTTAACTATCTTAGATGAGAAAGAATGAAATGTAATATTTGAAGGCAATGCTCAAAAGATTGAATTGATACGAATGTACCAAGGCGTGCGAGTAAAAGGAACTTACTTTCCCTGCATCTGATACCATTTCAACAGCCTCAACACTGGTCCCATACAAATTACCATGCACAGCAGCAAACTCAAGAAACTTTCCATCTTGGATCTCTCTCTCCATAATACTCTTCTCAGTAAAATGATAATGGACACCATCTTTCTCCTTTCCTCTTGCGGCACGGGTTGTGTGGCTCACTGAGAAACCAAACATGGATGGAAATTCCTTCATGAGCACCGATATCAATGTTCCTTTACCTACTCCAGAAGGACCGCTAATAACAACAGGTTTCTCAACATTTCCTATCACACCCTTACTCCATGCAACAACCTCAGTCCCCAATTTCTTTTTCTGTTGCCTGACATATTGAGTGTCTACCTACCAACATTACAAAAACGAAAATTTTGACATCAATTAGACCATTTAACATTGGAATCTACTATATAGCTTCAGAGCATTGTCAAGTGTGAACTATGGATCGTATAAAGCGGTTTGTTCAAATTATGCAATGTAACAGTGCTATAACGCCGCTATATAAATGAAAGTATTTTGTAGTAAAAAAACGTATCACGGAACATTAGGGATTTGTTAAAATTCCGCTATGCTATATCGCTAAAGTGCCTATTTAACAACACTGCTTCATAGATTTTATGCATTAATAGTTCTTTCTTCGTGATTAGATCAAGCACTTTGGTTTAAAAGCACTAACCTCCAGAAACCATGTATGATCATCTGGCTTAAGATTCTTCTTAAGAACTACGATTCGGTCTTTCAAAAACACTGCTGAGTGACCTTCACATAACAAGGGTTTGGTGCCTAAGACAGTTGGATTAACCCTACAAATTAAAATAGATATCAGCAACAAAAGCATGAAAGTTCAAAAAAATGCAATCAAACAAGAAGCCTTCGACTGACCATTCTCCGAGACACTTATCGAAAACTCGAACATCACTGGACAGAGTTTCATTATCAGCTCCACCGATGACATACTGTCAAAGAAACAGAGGTCCATCTTTTGTTTCAATTAGAGAGTTGATTATGTACAAATCTAATGAATAAGTAGTAACGTATCGAAAGTTAATGTTCATAGTCAACTATATGATTAATACCGTTTTATCGCCAATGGTGGTAGTTGTTTGGAAATTTCCGTCTTTTAATTCAGAACCATTACTAGCTCCATTCTGCTGGTCTTGATGAACGAGTATTGGTGCTTCTCCCTGTTGATCATAAAATGGTTTCATAAATCAATTCAAAATCATAAGCTAAACACATTCCTAATTGTTTTTAACCATAAACACATAATAATTTGAAAAAAAAAAATAAATTAAACGTAATCAAAAGTGTATCTCATTTCGAGACACACGTAATCCTTGAATGGAAGTAAATACTTACCATAGAGAAAAAATGTCCTGAATTAAATCCTAACCAAAATGGATAAACAAAGGTTAATATTAATTTATATGAATCAAGAAAATATGAAAACTGTGTTGTTTTTGAATGCTTAGAAATTGGGGAAGAATGGAAGAACGAGGAGTGAGTGGCGGCAGAGGAAGAAGGGAATGGGTTTTCATATTTGTAGGGGGAATGAGAGAAAGAGGGTCTTTTATTGGATCTCTCCTTTGAATCATGAACCGAGAACACCGGCTTTCGTTTTTTCCTAATGTACTAATCAAAAATATATTTTTTTAATTCTTTGTAGCATTTTATAATAATTATTTTAATGCTTGAAGAAATTAAAAGTTTTACAAAAAATGAAAACTTTGTGGCCAAAGAGAAAAAAATTGAAAACTTTGTGGTCATAATTGAGAACCCATGACCCTACACAAGATCAATGGGGCCATCTACCACTAGGCCAATTTATTTCATATATTTTATTTTCTTCTCAACACTATATATTACATAATTAATATTTATTTTTAAATTGATATTATTGAGAATTATTTTATTACATGAGTATTATTTATTATTTATTATATGAGTATTATTCTACATGTATACTATTTCAAAATGAATACATTATTATTATATAGTATATATTCCAAAAATTAAAATGTTATTTTTTTATATAGTATATTATAATTAAATTGAAATTAAAAATTATATAATTATTTAAATAAATATTATTTTAATATTTATTATTTAAAAACTGAGCCCGACAGGCCCAATAGCATTGCTGAGGCCCAATCCAAATGGACTTGTTAAGGACCACGCCTACCAAAGGGTCAAAGTCGTGTCCGACGTGCTCCCTGAGGTCACGTGCTCGACCTCTACATCTCCAGCTCGACATCCTGCTGTCCAGCTCGACATCACCTCGAGCACCCCCTACTAGGGCAGACTCAGTCCACTGCACTCCCAACGAGACCCCGAAAAGACCGCGTCTCCGTCCGCCCGCACTTCACGCAGAACATCCAGGAAGGGGACCACGTGCGGGTCCCCACTACGCACGTAGAACCTGGCAGTTCCCCCATTGGGCCAAACTTGCCCGGCCCAACGGAGGAACCTTGGCCCAGCGCTGGGGGCTATAAATACCATCTGTTTCCAGAGGGTCAGGTATTCATCATTCTACCCATACACTTGCTATTACCTGCTCGTGCTTCTACTTACTTCAGCATCGGAGTGTCTTGCAGGTACCCCCCCCCCCCCCCCCTCCACCTCGTTCAAAAAGCTTTCAGCTCGGAGCCAGTCGTGACGGTCCATTTCTGATCAGGTCAGATCAGTGGCGCCGTCTGTGGGAATCTAGCTTCCCCGTCTTACAAACAACTCAAAAGACCAAAGCTCAAAATTCAATTACCTGTCATGGCTGATCCAGCTCGCGATGAGCAGAACGTCCGTGTCGCCAACACCAATAATGGCACGGCGGACAAAAACGGACATCTCGACAACGTCGGCAATCCCGGCCATAACACCGCTCCTGCAACAACTGTCCTCGGAACTTCCTCGCACAGGGACGGAGCCACAGCATCATCCTCCTCGCTCCCACCACCACTCGAGGACGACCCGGCGGCCCTCGCCCACTACAGAGCCGTCCGGTTTCAGGAAGTCCCCGTCCCCCCCGGGGCGGATGCCACCACACAAGCGTTGTTCGCAGCAATTAACCAAACGAACTATCTCATCTTCGCCCAAGGAGAGAGATTAAAGGCGCTTGAAGACGAGCGAAGACCCTCGAGGAAGCATCGGAGACCACATACTCCCCCTCCTCGGGTGACTGAAGTCTGACACCCTTCTCCCTCGCGGAGACACTACAGGGAAAACTCCAGAAGCCCTTCTCCCCGGCCAAAGCAGAGGCGACCATATTTGGAGAGAGATCCCATCATCCCCGCCGGAGAACCCAGTCGCGACCCGGCGAGGCACGACAAGAGACACGCCGGGGACGGGCGTGAAACATTCAACCAGCGAGCATCACGCTCGAGGGAGACTCAGCACGACCACCGTGCCAGACAATACTACAGGTCCCCATCTCTGTCTCCGGAGAGGAGCGACGAGGACGACCCCCGCGGTCCCCTGTCGCAGGCCATCATGGATGCACCCATCCCCCCGGGCATGGAGAAGCCCCCACATCTGAAGGAGTATGACGGAGTTGTGGACCCGGTCGACCACATTGACGGGTTCGAGGTCATGCTCCATTATCATAATGTCGGGGGGCCCATCAAGTGCCATCTTTTCCCCACGACTCTCAGGAAGGCGGCCATGGACTGGTACAAAGGACTCGCCCCGGGCTCAATCACCTCGTGGCGGAACCTGAAGAACTAGTTCATCAGTTCCTTCACCGCTTCTCGGCGCCATCCAAAGACCGAGGCGGCGCTCGAGGCCATCATCCAAAGACAGGATGAGACCTTGAGGGAGTTCATCAACTGCTTCAACCGAGAAGCGATACAGGTCCCCTGCACGGACCACATGAAGAGATATCTGCTGGAGAGGGGGCTCCTCCCCGGCACAGAATTCAGAAAAGTCGTGGGAATCGAGCCGCCCAGGTCTTTCGACGCCCTCCTCGATAAAGCTCGAGCATATATGGATTACGAGGAGAGGGAAGCTGCCAACAGGGCCCGAGACTCCAAGACTCGGGGTCCCAACAATAGCAGCAGCTCACGCCAAGAGGCTCCTCCCCGACGTACCGGGGAGAAAAGGAAAGAAGACTGACCCCGGGAAGTCCGGGAACAAAGGGGCCCCTCAGGCCGTTTCACCGAGTACACTCCGCTCACAGCTTCCCGCGAGCGTATTCTGGCGGAGTGTGCCAGTACAGACTTCAAGGACGGCGGCGTCAAGCGTCCCCGACCTGCTCCCGCCAAGCCAGGGGCGGACAAAAATAAATACTGTCAATACCATAGGAGTCATGGTCATCTGACAGAGGACTGCGTCCACCTCAAGGACGCCATTGAAACCCTCATCAAGGGAGGGAGGCTCGCGCAATACAGGCGAAACGACGCTCCTCATCGTGACGCCCATGAAGCCAAGGAGCCAGAAGAAGACGCCCGACCATCAGACGAGTCGGTGCCTATCCAGACCGCCTTCTCGGTAACCAGGCCCGAGGATTTCGACATTCCCGAGCACCTGCAGGAGCCGCTGACAATGCACAGCAGGTGGGAATACTTTCCCTCCGCCATGGTCATCAACGGGGGTGGGTTCAACGACCTCACCATCAATTCAGCTAAGAGGAAGTTGGACGAGCTGGTCGACGCGGCTCCCCCGCAAACAGTAACGTTCGAAAGGGTGAAGGGCAGGTCAGAGCCCATCACCTTCTACCTAGAAGAGCTCCCCGGTGGAGCCCCGAACGCGGTCATCCCCTTACTGATAAGGGCAAGAATGGCTAATTTCGACGTGCATCGCATCCTGGTCGACGAGGGGAGTTCCGTCGACGTGATGTACAGCCAGCTGTTTCGAACCTTACAGCTGGACGACTCACATCTCTCTCCGTATGTGGGGTCAGATCTACAAGGCTTCAACGGCTCGACTTCCAAACCTTGGGGTTATGTCGAGCTCCTAGTTACGTTCGGCGAAGGAACGGCTACGAGACAAGTTAAAGTCCGGTTCCTCGTCATTGACTGCCTGTCTCTATACAATTGCATCTTGGGGAGACCGACACTGGCAGAGCTAACAGCGGTGCCCTCGACCGTCCATTTGAAGATGAAGTTCTACACCAGAAGGGCACGGGTAGCCACCATCTAAGGAGACCTAGCCGCTGCCCGTAGGTGCTTCAACGCTACTTCTAAGGGACGGGATACCGTCGACATAGGGATCAGACCCGCTAAAAGGACAAAACAGGAGCCCGACAGGAAAGCATCCCCCGAGGAAGAAGTCCAGAAAGCTCCACCAGAGGTCGACTCCATAGCCCTGGACACCCGCTTCGATCAGGACGAGCCATCCAGCAGCGAGCAAATCCCACTCCGACCAATACCGGACGGGGATTTTGAGCTCGTTCCCCTCGGCACAGACCCGACCAAGGGAGTAAAGATTGGTAAAGACCTCCCCGACTTGGCCAGGAAGCAAATCAAGGCCTGTCTGCGCGAGAATGCTGATCTCTTCGCCTGGAGCGCTGCGGAGATGCCCGGACTCGACCCTGAGGTCGCCTGTCACCACCTCGCCATTGATCCAGCCGCTAAGGCTGTAGTACAACGTAGGCGTAGGCAGTCTCCAGAAAAAACGGAGGCTGCTGAAAAAGCTGTAAAAGACCTCCTAGAGGCAAATTTTATTTCTGAAGCCCGGTATTCCACCTGGCTGTCAAATGTTGTACTCGTGAAAAAGAATAATGGAAAATGGAGAATGTGCGTTGATTATACTGATCTCAACCGGGCTTTCCCGAAAGATGCTTTTCCCTTGCCTAACATAGATATGCTGGTCGACAACTCGGCCGGCTACAAAACTTTGTCGTTCATGGACGCCTATTCGGGCTATAACCAAATCCCAATGGCTCTGGGCGACAAACACTGCACGGCATTCATAACCAGCTCGGGCAACTATTACTACAACGTAATGCCCTTCGGACTGAAAAATGCCGGAGCAACTTACCAACGCATGATGAACAGAGTTTTCAACAAACAGATCGGCGACATGCTCGAGGTATATATGGACGACATGATCGTCAAATCCCGAGCAGACACCGATCACGCAGCTCATCTCAAGACAGTTTTTGCCCAAGCAAGACAGTGTAAAATGAGGTTCAACCCCGAGAAATGTACGTTCGGGGTTAAGGCAGGAAAATTCCTTGGATTCTATCTAACAGAACGGGGAATCGAAGCCAACCCCGACAAATGTCGGGCATTCTCCGACCTCCCAACACCGACGTCGAAGAAGTCGATACAAATCATGAACGGCATGCTCACGTTGTTGTCCCGCTTCGTCGCGAAGTCCGCTCAGCACGCCCTCCCCTTCTTCAAACTCCTTCGAAAGGAAGCAGCCTT